AAAAAAAAAAAAAGATTCCACAGCATCCCTAAGGCTGGCAGAGAACCAGGCTTAAGCAAGGGAGTGCTAGAATGTAAGACCAAACGATCAAGAATTAGAACGTGTGGGTGTTGGCAGATATTCAGGTCATACAGTCTTCATAAAACTAATCCATGATTCTTTTCACTTTCCAGTCTGGTGAAATTGATATTATAAATCACAAGACAGGAGACAAGTGTAATCTTAAATTTGTTCCTTATAGCTACTTCTCTCGAGATGTAGCAAGAAAGGTAAGAAAAATTGGAATTTACATGTTTTTTTCTTCAGTGTACATTTCTAAGAAAACCTGGCCCTCTAAGGCTGGTGTTTATGTATACACATTTGTGCCAGATACACATGCATAGGTTGATAGGTATGTAGAAAGAGATGTGGTGATTCAAAACTAGTAGACAGTGACAGGTGCTGGTTGCCCACAACTGTAATCCTAGCTGCTCAGGAGGCTGAGATCTGAGGATCGTGGTTCAGAACTAGTTGGGGCAGTAAAGTCTGTGAGATTCTATCTCCCATTAAACCACGCAGAAAAAGCCAAAAGTGGTGCTGTGGTTCACGTGGTAGAGCACTAACCTTGAACACAAAGAGGTTCCAGGACAGCACCCAGGTCCTGGGGTCAAGCCCCAGAACTGGCAAAGGAGAAAAACAAAAGCAAGTAGACTGGAGAAATTCAGCAAAAAGGGACTGAGTTGCATACAGGACCCCTTTCTTTTCGTAGACCACAAGTGAGGAAGTAAAAGTTGAGAACAATTAGAGACTGAAGGGAACACAAAGGGAGGATTAGTAAAAGGACTGTGAGAAGCAGGTGGGACCAGCGGAACATCTGTGACGTTCAGGAAAGAGTTGTGTTACCACCACAGTGGGTCTCTGTTTTTAGAGAGAAGAGAACGCAATGCTGAGTACCAGTCAGATGCTTTTCATTGCATGGAAAATCCCTGTGCAACAGAGTGACCTCCAAGTCATGACTTAGTATTTTGAATAAAGTTCCACAATCAGGACAACAGAATAATTCAGATGACTCCATAATGCTTGCTGTGACAGGATCTAAGCAGTGTTTACCCTAGGACCTTGGTTTCTGGATTAGTCAAGTAGACCACTCCACACTGCATCCTCTGCTCCAAAGCCCTGCTCTCAACTCTTACAGGTGACAGGGGAAGTGACGGACCCATCAGGAAAAGTTCACTTTGCCCTTCTGGGGACGTGGGATGAGAAAATGGATTGCTTCAAAGTGCAGCCAGCTGCTGGGGAGAATGGGGGTGATGCTCGTCAGAGAGGCCACGAAGCAGAGGAAAGCAGGGTCATGCTGTGGAAAAGGAATCCTTTACCGTGCGTATCTGTGAGCTGTGGCCGGGAGGCCACTTCGGCCTTACCTGTGGAACAGTGTGAAAATAAGTCTGCCTGCCTTCCTACTTAGTCATGTGAAGGCCCAACCAGGGAAATAGGGCCTTTGGAGAGGTTACCAGAAGGAGTCCAAGATGATTTGAATTGTAGCAGACCTTGTCCCAAGAAAGTCCTAACTAACACCCACCATTCAAAAACATTTTTTAATTTTTATTCTATTGGGTTGGGATTCAGAAGAATATCTTTCTGTAGTTTAGAGCAAAGCTATTCACAAACAGCCAGAGAAGCAAGGTGCCCAAAAGCCCAGAGGCAGCAGGAAAGTCCTGAGCAAGTGTCCAGGACTCTGACCTCATCTAATAGATTCCATTGATAGCAGTAGCCAAGACTGTCCCAGGAGGAAAAAGGAAAAAAAGTTTGAAAAGAAGTAAAGGCAAGCCGGGCGCTGGTGGCTCACGCCTGTAATCCTAGCTACTCAGGAAGCTGAGATTTCAGGATCACGGTTCAAAGCCAGCCCTGGGCAGGAAAGGATGTGAGACTTATCTCCAATAAACCACTCAGAAAACGGAAGTAGCGCAGTGGTCCAAGTGGTAGAGCGCTAGCCTTGAGCTGAAGAGCTGAGGGACAGCATTCAGGCCCAGAGTGCAAGCCCCATGAATGACAAAAAAAAAAAAAAGTAAATGCAGTAGAAGGCAATAGAAATGAGTAATTTTGATTAAGTAGAGTGTTTGTTGTATTCATCCAGATGGATACAGATAATTCTGGCTGAGTAATATAAAACCCCAGATGACACTTAAATGGAATCACACTGGGAGGGGTTAAGAGTGATCCAGGTTGACTCTTTTAATTAGGAGTACCTGACATGGCCCTAGACTTTTTTTTTTTTCCACTTGGAGAGCAACCTTGGTAATGTTGGCTTGGCGGTGTACCAAATTACTGCTCCTTAACTCAGTCTGAGCTCTTCGGTTACCTTTTCTTTTAGGAAGAATGCGGAAAACATGTACTACTTCTCGGAGCTGGCTCTGACTCTCAACGCCTGGGAAGGCGGCACCGCACCCACAGACAGCCGGCTACGGCCTGACCAGAGACTGATGGAGAATGGACGCTGGGATGAAGCAAATGCTGAGAAGCAGCGCCTGGAGGAGAAACAAAGACTTTCCAGAAAGAAGAGAGAAGCTGAAGCCATGAAGGCCACAGAAGATGGTAATGAACTTGCTTTCTATTTCTGCGTCTTGGCAGGTGGAGAGAGCTGGCTCTTAATTTTGCCTCTTTTCCCTCTTTCCCTTTTAGGCACACCCTATGATCCTTATAAGGCACTGTGGTTTGAGCGGAAGAAGGACCCTGTTACCAAGGAGTTAACTCATATTTATAGGGGTGAATACTGGGAGTGTAAAGAAAAGCAGGACTGGAACTCGTGTCCAGACATTTTCTGAAGGAGCAGTAACACAGAGGAAGAGGATTAATCGGAGAAGAGGACAGAGGATGTGTGGGAAAGCTGGCAATTGTGACTCTTACCAAGTGCTTTCCTCAAGTTTGTCTGTCTTAACCAATCACTTTTTCCAAATCAATCACCAGAAGCAGACACCAGTGGTGGTGATTGGCTGGTTGCCTTAGCTGATTGACACTGAAATCAACATACTAGATAACTATGTTTGTAAGGGAGAGGATTAGTGGCTGAAAGTTAGTGTTACTCTCCATCTGCGAAGTCAAGAATTCTTGGCTCTTCTTTCTCCTTCTGCACCCATTTAAGATGATGTCATTTGCCCTTCCCTTGTAGTATCCTGCTCAGCCAAGATCTGCATAAGATTGTGATTCATGAGCATTTTTGGTGCTGTTCAGAGCAAGAACTGATTTTAAAGTTCCTTTAAAAAGAAACACATAAGACTTTAACCAGCAGAGGCACTGTGCATGATTGCGGTGGAGCTTAGGTCTAAAGGAAATGCGTGCTCGCGTGGGGTCTGTCGTGTGGGCCCTCCATGTGCAGATAACCAAGGTACTGGAACGGCTGCAAGAGAGACGGCTCTGTGGGGCTGGAAAATTGTTACCTTCTTGGAAGTTTCTATCTTCACTTGCATAAAGTACCCCTCTGCCGTTGTCTGCCTTTGACAGCAGCTGGAAACCACGTTGGTGGTTTGTAGGAGGGGCATGTTGTCCTCATAGAAAGGTTGTATGGACTCCTCAGGCGGAGAACTGAGAAACCAGGCAGGATGGAAAAAGACTGCTAGCCACTTGACCTTCCCCAGTCCTCACCCCCATCCTTCATTGCCTTTCTCACCCCTCTTTCCCAGCTTATCCTGTATGGGTTTGTGCCCCAGTCTGGAGCCACCTGTCCATTGGGATATAGTTCAGAATTTGAGAGCAGTTAATCTGGAACTAAGTTTTCACCATCTCTCAAACCCCAGGGACTGGAGCCACCTCTGGAATAATGTGTTAAATATCTGTATATTATATATATGTAGAGAAAATCTAATTTTTTTGTTTGATTTTTCCTTCCTCCCATTAAGAATCTTGGTTTTTGTATATCATTTGTCTCCCTGGGACTCTGTCTTAGACGTACGTTCATGAGGATGGGCACTCTTCTACTTCCCATCTTCACGGGGCAGATTTGGAGCCCAAGCTGGATCACATCTGGTAGTTATTGAACTGAGACAGGTCCAGGATTTGTATCCTGGGGTGCTCAGTGCTGTGTTAAGCTCTCCTCTCCTTTGAAGATGAAATCCTAGTCTCTTTCCTGCCTCTTTGCTTACTTTGTTGGAAGAATATGGATAGAAAGTTAGAGGAGAGTACCTTCCAGTTTACTTCAGCCTCTGTTCAGCACACAGGCTAAATCCCAAAAGAATTTTCTTGCCATAATGGGGGGCTGGTAGCGCCATCATGTAGGGTGAATGAGAGAACTCCTCCTCTTGGGCTGGCTTCCTCCTTTGTTCTCTATTTGTTCTCTTTGTCTTATTCAGAAATCTAACCCCTATGCCACCTGCCCTTGGTTGAGGATCACAAATCGAGGTGCCTTCCTTGTATGCTTTCTGTTAGTGTTTTCTGTTTCTGTTCCTTAACTGCTGAGCCTCAGCCAGTGTGGGTCCTGGGGGAAAATATCATTCCAGAGGAAGCCATCCCTCCAGGGAAATTGGGTTTTACTGGGTAAATCAGTGCTTTTATCCTTCTCCCTCATCCCTTCCTCCCTAGCTGAGAGGAACACGCTGGGAATTTCTTCCTAAGAACCCTTTTCCATCCCAAGCCGGGGGTTATGCCAGGGCTTGTTCCAGGAGACCCAGAAAAGCTGGGACCTTCTTCAGGGACTTTGGATGGAGTGAGAATTCCCTCACTGAACTTCCCTGCTTTCTCTCCCTTTTCTTCCTCTACAATCTGCACTACATTTCTGGCTCAATCCCCAGATACCTGCTAAGGGAAGAAGCTTACGAGTCCTAAAGGTGGAATAAAGTCACATCAAAACAAAACTATATATATTTTCAGTTTTTTTGCCTTATTGCTTTTTTTTTTCAAAAAAAACTACTAAATTAAATAATTTTTAAAAAGTCATATTTGTCTGATTCAGTTCTTCTAGGCCAGAAGCATTGGCGGGGAGGGGGAGGAGAACTGGTCCAGTGGTTTTGTTCTGCTTAGGAATGTGGGAGCCCGGGAGCCCTCATCTTTGTAAGAAACTGGAAGAGGGCACAGAACACTATTGAGCAAGGCTCCAGAGGGCCTGTGAGCAGAAAATTAGATTTAAATGCCCTACCACTTCAATGTGTTGCACTTTGCTTCATCTTGACCTTGGCAGGAATAATTGTTAATGGTCGTTTGGTTTGGTTTTGTGAATTCTGGGCCTGCTTCACCTCAAAAAAAAAAAAAAGTGAAAAATTAGGGGTCTAGTATGCACCAGGTCCTGAGTTCAAAACTAGCACTGCAAATAATACTAAAAATTCTTACTGTTACCTAGTTTATGGAGGGGTTCAATTTTTTTTTCTTTTTGGTCCATTGTGGGGCTTGAACTCAGGGCCTGCGCACTGTCCCTTGAGCTTCTTTGTGCCTAAGGCTATACCGCTCCACCACTTGAGCCACAGCACCACTTTGTTTTTCAGTAGTTAGTTGAAGATAAGAGTCTCATGGGGACTTTTCTGCCCAGACTGGCTTTGAGCCACGACCCTAAGATTTCAGTCTCCTGATTAGCTAGGATTACAGGCATGAGCTTCTGACACCCAGCTCAAATTCTATTTTTTTTTGAGGGGGTTGGTTGTGGGGCCTGAACTCTGGGCCTGAGCACTGTCCCTCAGCTCTTCAGCTCAAGGCTAGCGCTCTACCACTTGAGCCACAGCACCACTCTTGGTTTTTTGGTGGTTTTAGTGGAGATAAGAGTCTCACAAACTTTCCTCCCCAGGCTGGCTTTGAACCATGATCCTCAGATCTCAGCCTCCTGAGTAGCTAGGAGCCTGAGCCACTGGCGCCCATCAAATTGTCCTTTTTGAAACAAGCAAATTTGATTTGAAGATCTTTGAAAGTTACGCACAGTATTTATGTCTAGCCTGAGTCAGGATGATTGCTTAAACCCAGGAATTCAAGAACAGCCTGGACAACAGTGAAACCCCCATCTAAAATAAAAGAAAAAAAAAAAAAAAACAGCCAGTCCTAGGCCACAGGACAGTGCAGCAAGAGAGTGAGGACCAGCCTGAGGTTCACAGACCCTGTCTCAAAGTTTTAAAAATCACTAGAGTTTTTGACAAAAGTAATGACAGTGGCTATGCTTGCTTTTTCTCAGCGTTCTGGAGGGGGATAGGCAAAATAAAGTAGGAGAGCCCTCAGATGAGAGCAAGCATAACGCCAGCCTGTGAGAGGTGCGTGGGACATTAACTCCCTACTTGCTTCTTCCATTCTCCCATCACAAGTAGGAACTTAAAGCCAGGCCTATAATCCTAACTACTCAGGAGGCTGAGATCTGAGGGTCATAGTTCAAAGCCAGCCCAGGCTAGAAAGTCCATGAGACTCTTAGCTCCAACGAATCACCAAAAAGCCATACGTAGCTGTAGCTCAAATGGTTCAGCCTTGAGCACAAGAGCTCAGGGACAACGCCATGCCTCCTGTGTCCATGTCTTCATGTCTCCAGGCCCTCCTCCTGGTCAATATGGTGTCCCATTTCAGCTCTCCATTGGAGTTGAGCTGGTTTGTTGGTAGTGTTTTTCTGCTTGCTCTTTACTGCTTTCATGGCTCACTTTTCTGACAGTGTTACGTGTATTAGCAGGGTTGCAGGTATTTATGATGAGTCTGCTTGTGGTCGCTGACCTTCTAATAATGACTTTCAATTCGACCTCTCATATCACCTGATGTGGAAGAAATAATTGTATGTTCAAAGCTTAGAATTCACAAACTTTATGAACCATGATAATGACAATTTGCCTTGTGAAAGTTAAAATGTGTATGTGACTTTAGCACTATCCCACAATACTGTGAAATTTATGTCATCAATTTTAATTAAAAATTATTAAAAAAAAAAAAGTGGCGCTGTGGCTCAAATGGAAGAGTGCTAGCCTTGAGCAAAAGAAGCTCAGGGACAGTGCCCTGAGTTCAAGCCCCACAACCACAAAAAAAAGAAGTAAAAAATCATAGTTTGGGGGCTGGGAAGGTGACTCAGTGGTAGAGTGCTTGCTTTGCATGCCTGAGGCCCTGGGTTCGATTCCTCAGCACCCCATAAGCAGAAAAAGCCAGAAGTGGCACTGTGGCTCAAGTGGTAGCGTGCTAGCCTTGAGCTGAAAAGCTGAGAGACAGCACCGAGACCCAGAGTTCAAGCCCCACAACCAACAATCACAAAAATATCATAGTTTTGGACAGGGAATGTGGCTGAGTGGTAAAGTGTTTGCCTATCATGCATAAGGCCCTATGTTCAATTCCTTGGTACCATATAAGATTAATTTTTTTTTGGGGGTCCGGTCATGGGGCCTGAACTCTGGGCCTGGGCACTGTCCCTCAGCTCTTCAGCTCAAGGCTAGTGCTCTACCACTTGAGCCACAGCGCCAC